ACCGTAACGTCTTGCGCCAATCTTCCGGATCTGGAGTTTCCCAGACAAAATCTACGTTTTGTGCACGGCCAGACCCGAGGCGGGCTCGCAGAAGCCTCGTGCACTGCAAAAGAGTCGTCCAAACTGCAACCAGCATTATGCACTAGACTAGGCGTGCCTTCACAATCTTTCCTCCAGAACCTTTCTCACAGATATTCGTCAGACCGCATTTGGAATACGGAATGCCATCATGGACGCCCTGGATGAAGAAAGACAGTGATGTGCCATAGAGCACGTGCAACGACGAGCCACAAAACTGATGGACGGTCTCAGGGCTCTGTCATACCCAGACAGATTGATCCAGCTAAACTTATTCTCCCTATCCTATAGACGAATGAGGTGTGGCCTGTTATGGACATTCCGCATTGTGCACGGGCATGAGTGTTCGCTCAAATCTGAAGACTTCTTTGAATTCACGATCATGAGTCACCTGCGCGGTCATCCGTACAAAGTCAAGCGGGAGCGTACACGCCTAGACCATCGGGAGTTTTCCTTCAGCCAGCGTTTTGTTGGACCGTGGAACTCACTCCCAAGTGAAATAGTGACATCTGATACAATGGCAGTATTCAAAAGGCAGCTGGATCGTTTGATCTTTGATAAACGACGACTCTCACTGCAGGAATATCTGCGGCCAGCCATAAATTTTATTTCCTGATTTAATCCCTACGTAACACATCCCTGCACGTTTAACGAAATTCCCCCTCGAAAACCACGCAAATGATTGCGCTTTATGCTGATTGTATATAATTGCACTTAAAATTCCATATGTACATGGAAAAGACTGCGTGCCGCACCCTTCGCAGTCCCGCACTGTAAAAACGGTTTCCTAAAAAAATAAGTTACTAGCAAAATATTAGTGGGATGTGCACTTAACATTTATATTGTATGTACCGTTTTCAAGAGGGTCATCAAGGGCATTGCCTATTAGCCCAAAATATGCCTTGCCCCAATGTTGTGCGCGCCAAGTCGTGCGTGGCACGCGCAGTTGGCCGTTTAGCTTTGTCGGCCATTGCGCCCACGCCTACCTCCGGTCGTCTTGATATTGTCTTGTCATCAAAACAAGGTGGGTGGAGCAAGAGAGAGTGTGGTAGACTGTGTGCAAGCCCGCCACACTATAGACTAATTCACATGCTGCGTCCGCGTGGTGGGCGCCGTCGCTTGCGACGGTCGCCAATACCTGTTGTGTGCGTGCATTCCGGTGTGACCTCTCACCACCCCCCTGTCGATATGTACGGTAAAAGACTGATCTGCCAGGGAAGTTTAGATCGCCTTTTCTGAGACCTCAGTCGGCTGCAGCATCGGTTTCGCGTCTCCATGTGACAAAAGACCAGGCGCGCATGGACAGCCAACGCGCTCACTGTTCTAGCTGCCAGACCCTTCATCCTCGGTATTCCCTCAGGAGCTCCAACAAACTAGTGCTACTGATGCGTTTCAAGTAGATTGTTTTAACTACATGAATATATTTAGTACACCCTATTTGAATCGATGGTCGTTCCTGTCTCACCGTCACCAACCGCTCATTCCCGGAACACAGACTGACAAGACCTGGAGCGTTAGGCCACGTTTCACACCTCGTCCGTGTCCTCACTGTCCTGTTCCGGTCTATGGAAAGGCAACACCGGTGAGCTCAGTGGCAAGACGTTGGTTCAATCGCCAACCGAGGCCGGCTTAAAACGCTGACATTCTCGGAGTGTGGCTACTGGCAATGACAAATACACCAGAAACTACAGTTTAAGTTCTCCGTAAGGCTGAGTCCCTGTTCACCTTTGCCACACGGTACTGTGTGACAGGTCCTAAGTACTCGAAGACAACCCTCGCACTTAGGACTCACT